CTTATAATTTAAAAGTTTTATATTATTTTATTTTATTCTTAAATAAGTAATTAGATATATTTAGTACTCTAAGTAAAAAGCCTACTATATATATTATAACTCTACTTAACTTTAATAGTTTCAGCTTATTATAGTAGTAGTAGGGGGACAAAGTAAATAGCCTATAATAAGAATCCTTAAAGTAAGACTACCTTTTAATTTATTATCTTTTAATTCTAGAAAATAATTCTAGTATAAAACCATTAACTTAGTATAATTTAGTGGCTAAATAATACTTTCTTTTTTAGAAAGATATTCTATCTATTTCCTTTAATTTTGATTTTACTCTACTTCTCTAGGTGCTCGTGTGGTGTAATATGAGGATGTGTCCCCCTCTTAGATAGGTCTTGGTATGATGTATAAATGGTATGATGGCTTTCATCTCATGTCATTTTTTTTTGCTCGTCGGAGGCGTAGACCGACCATCGTAATACAATCTTCTCGGTCTCGCTATCCCCTCGGGACCTCGGTCTCCCGAGTGCCGAACAGACCATCATGCAACAGTCTGCATCGCTTGGCAGCGTTGGAAATTGCATCCAGGCACAAACATTCAAGCTCAAGATACTGGAGCCATGTTGCCCGGTCGTGGTCGTCGCTTCGCTTCTTACAAGGTTCCCCGTGACTCGTGGTCGCTGCTCCATTGCCTCCGCAGTGCTATCGACTGGCTATCCCCACACTTGCAACTGCCATCTCCGGCGCGCAACATGATATTGTCTTATGGGAATATCAGGGCCTTTATAGAAATTCATCTGTAGCATTTCTTTGCTTTTGACACTCACGCGGCAACGTTGACAATCCACTCACTCGTATATGGCTGTACTATTGAGCATGGCAGCTGCATTGAACGCCATCGCCTTGAGCACATTTCGATTGTATCCCTGCTGTAGTAACTGCACCCAAATATAGGCCTCATTGGAGTAGGGACAAGACCTTTTCTTAAGTGCTTGATCGACTGCCCGAGGAGTTACGAGCCACAGGTTCCTCACCAAGGCGTAGTCTCGCGGTGCATTCAAGCATGTAAGCAGTTTATTTTTACTGTCTCGCTATTCGCTAATGCCTCTTTCCGCCATTCGATACTTCTCAGCCTTACGACCTGATCGCCGGAGGATATGCATTGTCCTCCGCTCTACAGCTCCACCCCTGCCTTGCCCGTGTGTCAGTTCATAATAGGCACTATATAACACTCGCAGACAAGGGCCTTGGCTGACGCGTCAAGCGTTACTGTACTCTCTGTATGTGCGTGTGCCTTTGGTAGACAAGGAGATATCAATTTCGGAATAATGGGCCATCAGTTGTTAGTATGCCGAGTTTCGCGACTCATGGTTTACCCTCATTAAAATCGCATACGTTTTTAGTAAGTCGGTAAAAGCTGTTATTATGATAGACTCCCGGACCACTTGAGCCAAGTCACCCGAGTCATCAATCAGGCCATTTAATTCAGCCAAATGTGGCTGTCGCTGTGTTTGACTGCTGTCAAACTTGAAACCAAGCCCTTGTACGATGCTATATGCTTTATGCAAAGCTTGATAGATTGCCCACGTGGCTGCTCATGTTGCATCAGTAAACAAATGGGTTTTGCCGCTTGTGCCAGGAGTAGAAGCGACTCCGTCACAGTGCAGGTTCTATTGTAGCGTAGACGCGAGAGGGTGACTGTTGCGATGTGGTGCCGACGTCTTTGTAGAGCAAGTCTAAATGTAATTCAACTTGGACCTAATAACGAAACTACGAGGACCGTTCGCCCTAGCCGTAGCTGGCGGCTATACCTTATTCACTCTACGTAACCACATAAAGTTGGTGTAAACACGTTACAAATGAGCCAAGCAAGCTTGGTCGTATAACTTATGCTAAGTCATCCTATCTTAAAGTAACCATGCCAAGCAACAAGGTATTCTTGAGCAAGTTCTCTGAACTGATGCAGTAGTGATCAGGCATTTATCACGTTACCTTCGAGGCAGTGCTGTTATCACCATGTATATAAAGACACAGGTTCGCCGCACTTTCCATCGAAAAAAACCAAGCAAACCACCACATTTATACCTTCACTAGCTTGTCTACTTCTTTTTACCACCCTTTGAAGACAGAAAATACTACACTCGGTTATAAATCGTCTATAAATTGCTTATAACTTGCTGAACAGCAATCTCGACGCTTAACCTCTATTCAACCAGTCACTGGTTTAGTCCTCCTTCTCTACTTCGACTCCACGTCATCATTCGCTCATCACCAAGCTTCGTCGTCTTCGTGCAAAACAATCGCTCAAAGATGCAGCCTTCTTTCGTGATGGCCCTCATGGCTGCCGGAACTCTCACCGGCCTGGTCGCGGGCACCTCACACCAGGGACGCCCCAAGGGTTGGTGTGAAAAGGCGGACTGCAGCAAGGTTCCTGCGCCCTACTCCCGCCGCGGCATCGTTTCCCTCCGTGACGACAGGTGCCAGTACTCGTGCCACCTGCGCCGGCTGCGCAAGGCGGCGGAGAAGAGCGCGAGGGAAAAGCCGGTTGACATGGGCATCGTTCCGAGCGTGGATGAAATCATTGCACCAGAGCCGGACGAGACCGAAACGGAGCCGTCTGAAGACGCCAAGAAAAAGCACGCCGCCGAAGATGTCAACATGCCCGACGCGCTCCAAGGTGGCAGCGCCGCCGCCGCCTCCATCTTCGCCTCCAGCCCCGGACTCTCTAAGCGCGCCGGCGAGGCTGCTCCGCAGGCGCCCACTGGCCAGTTTGACGTGGCCGTCACCAACATACCCCGCCGCAGCGAAGGTCCCTGCAAGTTCTCCGTCGACGCCAGCGCCAAGCCGGAGCAGTCCGGGGCCGACATTGTCTGCCTGGGCGCCAACGGCCAGAGAATGATGAGAAGCATGACGCGCGCCACCGTGGCCATGTTCGCCGCCCGGCTGGCCGCCGAGTACGACCGCAGTTGCGAGCTGACCGCCGACACCAAGGCTTACTTTGAGGGCGAAGAAGACAAGCCCGTGTCTCCGTTTGATCCTAGCAGTACCGCTGAGGCGAGCGCCGTAGTGCAGAAAGACACGAAGCAACTCTTGTTCCTCAGCTGCGGTGCCGTCTTCTTCAACCGGGCGGTTGCCGGTAGTTCGGGCGATGCCGCTGCTCCGGCGGTCAGGATGCTTCGCGACGCGCGCGGCTTTGTGCCTCTGATGGCTGAAGGGATCCCATCAACGGTGTTCTCTACCAAGCAAGCTGGCAAGACCTACGACGCCGCCAGCCCACCTCCCTGGCTTGAGGAGGTCCAGGCCGAGGTGAAGACTGCTTCTGGTGCTTAGTCGGACCTGTTACCGCCTATACATTCGCTTTTTTTTTCCCGAGTTAAGGTGATTTTAACTGATTTTCTTTTCTTGTTTTGTTTCCATTTAATCGAATTCGGGCTACTTAAGTAAAGAGGAAAGAGGGAAAAAAAAATATAAAAATTAAAACGAAAGGTAGATAGGATCTTCTAATTTTAATATAATATACTATCTCACCATTTCAATAATTCCGTTTTTATCATTTACATCAAAGGTATCGCGTTTTCAGGCTTACTATAACTCCAGATGCATTGGAATAGTATCTTTAACAGACAGAAGCTATGATACGCCTCTTTTTGAGAGTCTCTAAAGACTATACAGGCTAGGACAATGGTAAGAGTTTTTTATGTCTACCTCGTGTAACTAAAAGGTACCAAGGTAGGCAAATCCTGCGAATATAAAGCAGCTATCAGACACTTGGGTGTTCTAAGCTTCACCGCAATCAGTCATCTACACGGTTTATGATGTTTCTTTCCATATTTCTAATCAACCACCGGAATGATAAAAGTTATTAATCTTATCACTACCAAACCTTGCCGTCTTGACCTCTGCTGCTGCCGTTGAGTTAGTTGACAAGTAGAAGGCTACGAGACTTGTTGCGTCGCAGTGGTTTCGTCTTTAATCAGCGGGCATATGCTGCGCCTGTGTCGAATCCACCACAATCTTAGATCGGGGTAAATCCAATAGTAGCTTTGTTTCTAATTGATTATACTCAATTGATAACTACAGAGAATACCGCCAGCCTGATTCTAGATTGCCCCCTTCTCGCACTTCCTGCTCGCTGGTCTCCTTGCGTTGTAACCTCTTGTTCAGCCATACATACTGTGCATTAGACACTGCTGCAAAAATTAGTCCAATCGAGGCTAGGCTAAGGATTACGGTGAATCCAGTCCTGTACAGCGGCGCATCATGTGCCTGAAAGACTTGAGCACCAGCAATGCCGGCAGTGTTGACGGTCATGATGAGTAGAGCCATGGTGATGGAGCGTTCGGCAGGGCTGCGAATGTTGACGGCAAGCCAGGAGCCGTTGAGTGGGTGTATTATGGGTCCCCAAAGAGCACTGCAGATAAGGATTCCGTACTTGAGATCGCGATTGGTGCTAGTCGCAAGCTGTCGGGTGGCGAGCTGGGTTATGGTCAGCCTTCCGCCTCGCCTGTTCTGGACATGTTGACTTACACAAAAGGCAAAGCTGAGCACCGACGCAAATAGAATCAAACCGCCTCTCTTGCCAGTCTTGTCGGCAATCCAACCGAATGAAAGACTAAGCACAATGACGATCCAGTTGCCAACCGACGCCAGTGCATTCGCCTGAAGGCGATCGTAGCCGTAGCTGGCAATGATCGAAGGCTGGTATGTTGCCAAGGGTGAGATAACGGCAATGGCGCAAAAGGACACGGTCAATTGAGGATAAATATTCCATCGAGTAAAGGCAGCTTTGATGTCGGCCCACTTGACGTATTTGTTCTTGGCCTCACCGGCAGGATTGTCCCTGACAACCCGTTTAGTCAGAACATGTATCTCTCGTGGTGTAAAGTACGAGTGGCCAAGAATGTTGGAAGGGTCATCTGGTGATTTGGGCATGAAAAGACCAAAGACTATGCCGACAACAATAGTCAACATTCCTTCAATCAAAAACAACCATTGCCACCCCGATAAGCCTGCAACACCTCGCATTTGAAGGATGCCATAGGCAATCAGGCCGCTTGCCGCCGACGCAAACATGTTTCCAAAGAAGAAGGCGATGAAGCGACGGCTGGTCTCGTTGCGCTTATACCACCGCGTCAAGGTGTACAGGCCAGCAGGAATGAATCCTGCTTCGAGCAGACCCAGTAGCAGCCTGGTAATGTAGTAGACCCCGACTCCCTTGCCCTTTTGAAAGGCTTGAAAGGTGGCCACCAGACCCCAGCAAATGATTTGGCAGCTGATCCATTTTTGAGGCCCAACGCGATAGAGAATGAGGTTGCTGGGTAGCTCGAGAAGAACGATTCCTAGACTGAGGAGTTGATTGCCGACGTTGAATTGGAACTGGTTGATTCCAACTTCCTTCAAGAAGAAGTCGGTGAGTGCGTTGCCAATGTTGCCGCGATCTAGCTGCAAGACGAAGAAGCCAGCAATGAGGAGGGGCATGATGAGTAGATCTAGCTTCCTCACAATAGCCTTCTCTTCAGCCTCGGACCAGTCTCTGCTGGGAGATTGATTCGACGTTTCCGACTTTTCGTCGACACTTGTCTCGGTCGTAGCCACAGCAGCGACTGCGTGTGGAAAGAGGTCCTTTTCGCTGGACATGATGGGGGAAATTGAGATCAAGCAAACTCAGTGGTTTGACAACAACTTGCGAATCTGGGCGGTGCCGGGGCGTCGACTTAAAATAAGAGACCATGTTTTGATTGAGGCTGGCCTTTGGCAACTAAATGTCAAGGAGCTGTTCGTGATGGGATCGCGCGATGGCGCAATGTCCAATTTTCTGTCTGTCTATCGCATCTGATCAATTTACGAAGCCTCATTGTCTGCAGTATACTCGAGTTTTGTTACAATTAAGTTTATGCCCCGAGGTGCAGCCCCCAAATCACGACGTTTGCGCAGGCCACACGACTCGGGCGGAATTGGAAGGCTGTTGCCATGCTGAAGAACGTCTCACCAATAAGAGCATGATCCGAGCGACAGCCCGGCCGTTGCCAGCTCAATAGTTTGTGTCGGAAGGGGGGTGGGCTCTCTCTCACGCTTTTCAGCCGACATCTTGCGTGCTCGCGCCGTGTTGCCGAGCAGAGGGATGATGGGCCAATGAGACCATGATGCGAACCACACCAAAGTTTTAGGGGTCTGGTGCCAGCCAATCCCTAGCCGCGCGAGTTTCCGAGACAGACATGGACCGTCGCGCTTTTGTTAGTATTAATTCGAGTCGCGAGATATTGCATCAACTCGGGCAACTTCAAATGCTATAACTCGTCCTTGTACTCTCGTTTTTGTGGTCAGTCAGTTCAAAACTTGCCTCATCGTTCTACTGTTTCAAGATTCCACACTACCATGACTGTAACCAAACGACCAAACTTTCTCATCATAGTAGCTGATGACCTTGGCTTCAGTGACACGAAACCTTATGGTTCTGAGATTGAAACCCCGGTCCTTGATCGGCTGTCCAAAGATGGCATTCGCTTGACCAACTTCCACACGGCGCAGGCGTGCTCGCCCACGAGATCCATGCTCTTTTCGGGGACTGACAACCATATCGCAGGCCTTGGTCAAATGGCCGAGGCTGCTCATATGAAGAGGAGGGTCACTGGAAAGGACCCTTCATATGTCGGCAAACCAGGTTACGAAGGCTACCTCAACTGGAAAGTGGCTGCACTGCCCGAGATCCTCTCGGATGCTGGCTACCTGACGATCATGTCTGGGAAGTGGCATCTGGGGATGACACCGGATGTCTCGCCCAGCGCCAGAGGTTTTAAGAAGAGCTTTGGCTTCCTGCCTGGATGCGGCAATCATTTCAACTATGAGCCCCAGTTTGACCAGACCGAGGATACTATGCTACTTACGTCTGATGGCTTTTGGATGGAGAATGAGAAAAAGATTGACAGAAAAAAGGACTTGCCAGCCAACTTTTATTCGACCAATTTCTTCACGGAAAAGTTCATCGACATTCTGGCCAACAGGACCGAGGCCGAGAAACAGCAGCCGTTCTTCTCTTACTTGGCCTACACGGCACCACACTGGCCGATGCAAGCACCGGAGGAAGTCATTGAGAAATATCGTGAGTTGTTGACAGCAGTTGCTGTGGCGCCTTTTGTCTCATACATTCTTGTCTAATTGATTGGTAGGCGGCAAGTATGACAAGGGACCGGACAGGCTTAGGCTCGATCGCTTGGAGCAGTTGAAGAAATTAGGTCTCGTGCCGTCTGACATTGAAGCTGCTCCCCCTGTTGGCTTTGAGTCAGGCGTTAAATGGGACGACCTCACGGACCATGAGCGTGCCATTTCCGCGAGGAAGATGGAGGTGTACGCAGCCATGGTTGATTTGCTCGACCAGAACATCGGCAGGGTGATTGACGCACTTGAAGCTTCTGGTGAGCTGGACAATACCTTCATCTTGTTCATGTCCGACAATGGAGCAGAAGGGTCGACATTGGAGGCAGCCCCAGTACGTCTCACCATGTGACTTGCTCCCCGTATAAGTGAGCTAACATACAGTGTAGCTCTTGTCGTCATTCAAGACGCTCGGCGAGCTGATTGCGGCGTACTATGACAACAGCCTTGAAAACATTGGCAAGCATGATTCATATGTCTGGTATGGCTCGAGATGGGCTTGTGCCGCCACCGCACCCTCTCGAGGGTTCAAGGGGTGGTCAACCGAGGGTGGTATTCGGTGCCCTTGTGTTGTGCGATTTCCGCCACTTCGCACCACTCCAGATGCAATCTCGCACTCTTTCACAACGGTCATGGATATTCTCCCCACCGTTCTTGAACTTGCGCAGGTGCAGCATCCAGGAGCATCATTTAGGGGTCGTAGTGTTGTCATTCCGCGAGGCAAGTCCTGGATCAACCACCTTGCCTCACCCTCCGAGAACCCTACCGTGCATGAGGATGAAAATCACATTCATGGCTGGGAGCTGTTTGGTAACCGTGCCATTCGCAAGGGAAACTGGAAGGCGGTGCTGTTGGCAAGGCAGGGCGGCGATAGCTGGGAGTTGTACAACGTTGAAGAGGATCCGGCCGAGCAGCATGATTTAGCAAAGTCGCGGCCCGAGATTCTAGAGGAAATGCTTGTACACTGGGCCACGTACGTCGCTGAGACGGGATTAGTGGAAGACGCGTTTTGAGGAGGAATGATGTGATTGAGGCCCACAATGGCGCCTGGTGTGAGTTGGAGGCTACGAGCCTGCACATCACCAACCTTGTATGTACTGGTAGTAGCAGTTTTGGTCAAAGTAAAACTGTCCAAAGCACTTTCCATTGCCAAAATGACGTATAGAAAGACACGGACCGGCTGCTTGCATTGCAAAGCGAGGAAAGTAAAGGTAGGTAGTTGACTTCAGACGAAGCTGGCGGACCACGCTCATCACTTCAACAGTGCGACGAGTCTGCTCCATGCGGCGCATGTGTTCGGCGGGGGACCAAATGCAGTCTCAAGGTCCCAAACCGGTCAATTTGTAACAGAAAATCACGCTCATTCGGAACTTTGGTTCAGACGACCTCGGCCTCGCCTCTGCAACGCATCGCGCCATGCCCGACATACCAGTTGGCAGCGGAAGACAGGGAGTTACTAGGACACTGGCACAGAGTCGCATACAAGGCAATCGCTCATGAAAGAGGCTGTGAAGGTCTCTGGCAGCATGAAGTGACGCGTCTGGCCCTCGACCATCCGGTGATCCTGAATCTTGCGCTGGCCTACTCGTCATTTGAGCAAGCCCACACGGCGCATCGCTCACAAACAGACGTACAAGCACACCGGAGGCGACGAAATATATGCGCGGCTCGAGGTTTTCGATACTATGATGCTGCGGTTGGATTGATGAGAAGTACTGTAGCTGTAGCGAGCAGACGGAATGGTGCTATTTGCCATCTCGCTTCGATACTCATGATGCTCAGCTCCTACGCAGAAGGTGCGGTCAAAGAGTTGATACGGGATCGAAACAAGCCACCGTCCATGTTGAATGATTTGCTCGTCACCTGCCGACTCACTCGAGGCGTCAGAGCCATTGCAGAATCCTTTGGCGTCATTTGGCCGAACCGTTCGGAGCTCATACTCTTCGTCACCGAGGCCGAAGTACCAGCCCACGGGCCTCTTGATCCGGTGCTCGAGCTTCTCGAGTCTCTGACATTTCTGGAAGAAGAAGGAAATGCCGCGGTTAGGCGCGTCTGCCAAACTGCACTAGATTTGATGAAGTGGCTGGTCGGGAAAGCGCAGACGTCTGAATGGTGGCCTGCGCATAGAGCTTCGCTGCAATGGGCGGCTCTGGTCAGCGAAGAATTCATGCAGCTGCTGGAGGCCAAAGAGCCTGCAGCGCTGGTCTTGTTGTCCTATGGATGCTTCTTGGCAGATGATGATTGCGGCCATAGTTTTGTACTGACGGGCTGGAAAGGGGGGGTTTGTGCTGAGATTCGGGCGCTAGTCGGCCCGCGATGGGCCTGGGCGGTCTCGAGCTAATCTTTTTCATTCATCTTTTCTCCAGCGTTTCTTATTCTAGCATAGTCAACCGAGGGCGAAAGTAAAGGAATGCTACACCAAACAGATTAAGCTCAAATATCCAACAATGGCATTATTTCTAGCTCATCGCTACGGACGGCACCAATGCAGACCTCAGATGTCACGTGCCCAGGCCTAGACCTAGGCACTTAGCCATCATAGCAGACACTAGCCAATAGAACAAGTATCTTAAACCATACACCCTCATAAAGTAGTAGTAACACTTACTTAAAAGACCAGGCACTAAATTTCTTATCTATTATCTATTATCTAGCCACTAGCCGTATCCTCTAATTAGGACACTAGCTTTTATAACACTAGGCCCTAAATACTAACACTAGACATTACTATTAAGAAGCCTTAAGATAATAACACTAGACTAATTAGTTAACTAGGCTCTATAGACCCTATAAGCTACCTATATACTTAAGACTATTATAGACTAGGATCTATAGACTATTAAACGGCTTATAACACTAGACTATAATAAACTTACCTTTATTATAAGTCTTATAGTATATAAATATTATTTAAGTTATCTAGTAAACTACCCCCCCCTAGATAGACTAGACTATCTTAATACCTTCTTATACTCTTAAAGATAACACACGTCCTATTACTACCCTAAGTATAAGGGTAATAAGCCCGTAAAGTAACTTATCTATAAGCCCCTACCTTAGACTTAGCCTAATTAACCTAGATAAGTAAGAGGCCTACCTAGACTATAGGTAGTAGGCACCTCTATAGATAATAAGGTAGCTATACCCCCTTAGTAAGACTTATCTACTAAAGAAGAGTCTACGCGTTATTAATTATCTAATTTATTTTAGTAGACTAAACCTTACCCCTAGATAGACTATTAATAATAGACTAGTCTATACTAATAAAAAGACTATTAATAATAGACTAGCCTAAGGCGTTAACGCCCTTAGGTCCTAATAATATCTACTATGTTTATAGGCTTAATATCTAGAGTCTAGCCTTAGATAATAGCTATAAAGACTATAATAAACCCTCTCTCTAGCCTAAAGGCATATATAGTTTAAATTATAAGTACTATAGTATCTTATATATATAGTTATCTCTAAGATGCCTTACTAGCACTTAGCTATACCTTATTTATATTAAAGGGCCTTTATAAGAATAATATTAGTTTCTTTAAACTAGACTAAGCCTACTTAGATAAAGATAGTACTAGTTTAGTAATAAATAACAGTAAAGACATTATCTATATCTACGTCTATTCCTTTATAGACTAGCTACTAGCTTACTATACCTCCTATAGCGAATAGGCTATATATAATATTTAGCCTACGTGTCTCTAAGGCATAGCCTTCTAGTAGTACACTAGCATCCTCATGACGGCGGATTATAACTACTTAGCTATAGCACTAGTGTCTGAGATCACGGAACGGATTATTAGATAATTTAAACCGCCGTTCTCAGACGCTAATCAGAGGCTTAGAGCATATAACTATCGGAAGTCTTGGGTGTCGATGAACAAGCACAGGTGCTGATCGTTACGCTCCGCGAGCTGCTCAACGCGCCCAAGAAACTCCGTCGCTCTGGCGGGCCGTAATGCGCGCGTCGCAGGATCCCATCCGGACATTAAAATAGAAAACATGGAGCCCGTGTACCTGGCCAAGGCACACTCCATCCTGGCTGACAATAAGCGGGAGCTATGGGCCTATAATGTCTGAGCAGGGTCCTTTTAATGAATGGTTTCTACTTTAGGTATATAAATACTAATTTATTACATGGTTCCTCGCTTACACCCGCGGCTTCATACCAGTCCTTACAGGGCGTAGGGCTCTGCCTAATTACGAACTATGGTAAGCAGGGGAAAAGATGAATGAGACGTGTATCGAGCTTTAGCTATACGCTGCAAAGACACTGCCGCCCCATCAACGCTTAATTCAGCAGATCCTGTACACGCAAAGCACGCTGCTGGTGGCGTCTCACCGTTTCCCTGCGTTAACATATTTGTGAAACGGGCTTTATGATTGACTATGCTTCTTTAGGCTCAAACTCCACGTCGACAAGACAAGGATCTAAGCCCTGTTAGCCAAGGCGCCTCAATACGATGATGCATCCAATGCGGGGCGGCATACTTACCCAATCTGGTATATAAAAGCTAGCGAATCAAGGCAATAAGACTTGGGTTTATTTTGAGAGTCGCCGCCGCATACGAGCTTGATCCTAACCTTGCAAAATTTCGAGATGCCTCTTCTGCAGGGTCTGCCAGGAAAACGCAGCTGCATGCCGTAGCGTCACTCCATTAGTATTAGTGACGTTGCTATTTGCGTATCTCATGAGAAGCCAAAGACTGCCAAGCCTGTGCAAATAATCAAAAGATTTATCGTACTTGTTTTGCCCCCCTTGACTGTATACCCTCAGATCATACGAGAGGTGCCAGGCGAGGGTATAAGGCGCCAGGCAATGGACTGTAAATTGGCAAAGATGGATAATTAAGTACATACAAACAATCTGTGATACTCGAATACGAAGCGACAACAAAAGTAGCCGGAGATAGCCTATCCACAGTGGACTCAATACATCTGATACAAGAGCCTCGGTGGTATGCAGTATACAAGTCACGCATACAGAGTCGAATGACTATATATAAGTCTATGTGCAACTCTAGTCGTTGGCCAAGCTACTCAATAACATTTTTATAAAAAAAACCTGAATCATGCTTCCCATCTTCTTCTCCCTCATCACGCTAGCCTGGGCCATCATCCCCAGGCAATTAGAGTGCAACAGCCCACACCCAAGCGAAGAACTCTTGACGCTCCATTCCAACTTGGCCGATGGACAACTCTTCACCAGAGACACTTTTCCAGAGTCAGTTGTTATCGAAACCTACGTGCACATTTTTGCCGAAAACACCACGTACAAAGGTGGATGGCTCAGTGTACGTAACCCCTCTTGCCGATTAACCCTTCCCTCAGAGCTGACTACTACATACCTTCTCCAGAACACCACCATCGAAAAACAAATCAACGTCCTCAACCAAGGCTTCAACAGTACGCCGTTTCGGTTTGCTCTTGCCGGAATTAGCCGGAACGTGACCCGTCTACCCCCAGCCACCAACCCGAGTATGGACGCGCAAATGGCCTTTTGGTTCAAGTACCGCCAAGGCAACTACCGCAGCCTCAATCTCTACTATGTGAGCGGCTTTTACGGCGGCCAGTGCACCTTTCCAAGCATGCAGGCGGCGTTGGAGTCGTCGGCCGACTTTTTTCTCGATGGCTGCACCATGGGCGCCGACACGACGCCCGGCAGCAGCGGCCTGTTTGGGGCTGGGACGACGACCATTCATGAGGTTGGGCACTGGATGGGCTTGCTTCACACGTTTCACGGCGGTTGTAGCTCCGAGTATGGTGATTTTGTTGCGGACACACCATTCGAATCCGATGCACCTAGCAAAGATGATCATACTTTTGAAGTGTGCCCCGTCGGCCGTGATAGCTGCCCTGGATTGCCTGGGCTTGACCCTATCCATAATTACATGGACTATACCTCAGAGTGAGTCTTTTTCAAAGATAGCTTCAAGTGATGGTGCTTACTAATGATTCTTCAGAGATTGCCGTTCCGAATTCACCACTGGTCAGATTGATCGTATGAAGTCGATGTGGGCATTGGTGCGCAACGTGAGGCCATCTTCTGGTTAGAAAGTAGGCCGGGTTCAAGGAGTAAAAAGCTAGTGTACGAATTTTAGCATAAGAGTATACTCTTCTTGTATAACTAGATTTACTATATCTGCATCGACGGATGATGTCTTGCTAGGTGGCAAGTATTTGCACGCAGGAAAGCTGCCCTTGAATCTGCAGGTAACCAAACACAGCAATCTCAAGATTCACTCCTTTAGTTAGTCATCTACAAGTTGAAAGCTTGACAAATTAGCATCACCTTGGTGCAGGTCAAAGGCGTGGAGTGCTAGGTAGCATGGCTGTAGCGGACTTATTAGTGACTACATGGCCAATGTTGCGTCTTCGGGAGTGGATAGCGAGGTTCCCTGCAAATACTCTAAACGTAGCGCATAAAACTTGGGGATGATAGTGCCCTGCAACGAGCTGTGGACATGATTCGCCTTGATTTCAATTTTAAAATATACGTCTATAATGTCTGAGTCTTCGCCGGATCCTTGTGTTCTTAGCACAGCACGATCAGAAATGAACCACTGTGGAAAGACAAGACGGACCCAAGACTGGGCAAAGGCGGGGAGGATACGGGTAATGGATGTGAACAGGATTTTAAATGAGTAGAGTGAGTTGCGATTAAACTATCCTTAGTTATAGACAAGTAAAAGATCGGAATGCCACTTTTTCAATGGCACACTAAATTAACCTATAGCTGCATGGCACAGTATATCACTTCCAGAAATATTGCCATGTCTGGTTTTCGGCTCCAGCGGTACTTGGCTAGTATGCTCAAAGTTTCACAGCATGTCCAAGGCTCATTCCCACTTCTACAGAAACCTGGATTTGCGCTTGACTGAGCTCCAGGAGATCGTCGTCAAACTGTATTCGTCCGTTTTGAAAGCCAACAATAATAGAAGAGCCTCCATACTGGAAAACACCGATTTCCTCTCCCTTTTGAATCTGACTGCCCTTTTCTTTCCACGTCTCCCGAAATCTATCTCAAGTTAGTGCCAGCATCGTAAATTCACTTGCTGTCATAGATAGACACAATCAACTCACTGGACGCTACCCACGTCCGTCGCACCAATGGCAACAAACAAGACGTCTCCGAATTCTGCCGTCTCAATCACTACGTAACTTCTCCGGTTCTGCGTCAAAATGTTGACGTCGCTTCGCAGCGCGACCGGGTCGACCTGGTAGTAGTCTCCCGGCACGCTCCGGAACAACTTGACTCGGCCGCTGACGGGGCTGTGATAGCGGTGATAGTCCTGCGGCGACAACCTGAAGCTAGCAATGGCGCCGTCCTCGAATGCCGCGCCCAGTTGCGTGTCCATGACCAGCTCGGTTACGCTAAAGTCGGATCCCTTGATCCAAAGACGCTTGCTGGCCGCGACCGACGGGAATGCCACGACGCGGCTGTCCGCCACGACCACGGCTGCTGACATGTCATCTTTCTCAAATATAGGACGTGAACCGGTCTTGTGCTTCCTAGTAAAGAAGGCCTCGAAGCTGCTGTACTCGCTGATGTCGGAGGGATCGAAATCCTCCATCTTAATGCCGTATGACTCCACAAAGCTCCGGATTTGCTTCCTCGATTTCGGGGACGATTCCTGAACTCCTTGACTATGGGGTCAGCGGCAAAGATCCAAACTTTTACAGCAACAGAGGTCCTTACCGCTCCGCTCAGTTCTGCGGTGAATGTGCAAGCGCATGGCGTGAGTCGTGTCAAGCCATTCCGTGATCGGGTTGAACAGCAGGAGCAACTTGAGCTTCTTCGTGAGCGGTTGCTGCTCCCTCTCCAGCTTTCCGGTCTACATGAAATTGTTAGATATGGTGCAATCGACATCGAATATCATACGGCAGACTTTTCGATTCCAGCTTTTCCAACCAACCTGGCGGTTCGGGTTCTGTACGATGCGTTAGCGCTGCGTTAGATAGTGGCTACTAAATGAATGCAGCCTTACAAGATGTGTCCAGCACGTAACAGCGTCGACAATGGCATGCAGCCACTGGAAAACGTTGGCATATACCCAAGATATAACGCCCATTGTGATGTGTGTTGGAGTTTGTACCGCTGCAGTTTCGCGTGATGTCGTATGTTGAGTCTACGAGGTTCGTTCCCAAACATCGGGCTCGGAGACCTGCCTATAAGCAATGACTGTTAGCTTACATATTGCTTCTTGGCATCTAGTCTAAAAATTAGATAGTTTAGTTGACTTAATACTATATAGTTAAACTAGTATCTTAAAATAGGTTTTAATCAGCCGCCTCCCGCCGTCATGTTGTTGACCTTGGTTGGATGACACGTTTATTACCGTATTATGACCTCAATGTTAGGCATCTTGCAGCCAGCAGCCACAGAGGCTTAGGCCTCAGATAGTAGCTGCAAACTAATCAAGTATTAGATGTAGATGCCTTTTTTGAGTGATATACCATAAATACGCATCATTGCGAAACCATTGATGCTGGTCGTTGCTGGCTGTTGCGCTAAAGCCTGCTGTGATGAGTCAGTTTTGCCTAGACCATGTGTGACAGCATAGCAAGCACAGCGTTCACTCGTCGCGTTCGCTCATCTTGCACAGGGATTGAAAGACTAAGTTTTTTTTTTTTTTTTAAATTATGTAGGATAGAAAAAAAAATAAAAACACCGTTGGGCGAGAAATAGAGCGCGCCCCTCTGAAGATGAGCTCGTCAAAGTAGAAAGAAGCGAGGGTACTTGGAGTGTAGTCTTCCCATGAATGTGCAATAAGCACTGCATGAATTGGCGAAAGGTTTGCCATAATTGATAAGTGATATAACTAGAGAGATAGGAATGTCACTGTCAAAAGCCACGTCTGCCGGATTCTAGAAACAGAGATTTAAATATGACAAGTTACAAGGCTACCAAGAGGTCCACCTGTAGATACCGTAGATACGACTGGGATCTAAAGACTAGTTCATTTAAAATCATTGATGATGAAGAGGAAGAAGAAAAGAAAAACTTCTGCTAATTGCTGTTATTTCAGAAGCAGCTTCTGTCCTCGATACCATGTTTCAACTACACTGCCCTGCAGGAGCTTCGAAGGTTCCCAAGCTGCGTCCAACACGGTCAAGTTGGCCAACTTGCCCACCTCGAGCGTACCGACGTGTGCATCGGCAAAACAACTGTAAGCGGCACCCTGTGTATACGCAGCTGTAGCGGCAGCCAAGCTCAGTGCAAACTGCGGTGTCGTGGCTTCCGTCATTCCAGGCTCGTGTGCAGACTTGCGCGTCGTAGCCGTGTACAAGTTGGGCAGCGGCTCGTGCGGCGCGGTCGGGGCGTCTGTACCCAGCGCAACGACGGCGCCGTGCTCGGCAAATCCATTGTAGGGGAAGACGTGACCGCATCGCTTGGCCCCGATGAGGTTTGGCCACGCCGTCAAGTTGAACGGATCGCTATGGACGGGCTGGACCGAGGCGGTGATGCCTAGCTTTCCCAAGCGAGGGACATCCTCGGGCGCGCACGTCTCGAGATGTTCAATGCGATGTCGGCCGGTCGGATTGTTTACAGCTTCCAGCCCGTCAAGAGCGAGCTTGATGGCCGCATCTCCAATGGCGTGAATGGCAATTTGTAAACCGGCGTCGTCTGCCCTTTTCAAGACGGGCCGCAGCTCGTCCAGTGTCCACATGGTCGGCTCATTCTGCCCAGTGTGGGAATACGGCTCGACGAGGCTGGCTGTGCACGAATCCACCACGCCGTCGCACATTAGCTTGATTCCTGTGATACGACAGTCTGGCGTGTCCGTCGCGTTGAACTTGCGCCCAAGTTCAATCGCCCGTTCCACTTGCTTCAGATTGTCCTCGGCAGAGCGCGTCGGTGCAATGAACCAGTGCATAGCCATCCAGATTGGCAAGCTTCCGCCTCGACTGGCGCGATACTTGACAAGTATGTCGAGCGTGGCGTCATCCATGGCCATTTCAACGAGTCCCGTGTAGCCACTCTTGGCGTACGCTACAAAAGCATCGTGCGCAAACTGAAGCTTTTGCTCTTCAGTATGCTGCTTGCTGAGGAACGGCATCGCAAGTCCCAAGGCTGCACTCTCTGACAACAGGCCGCTGGGCCTGCCGTGCTCATCTCGGTGAATTTTGCCACCAGGCGGGTCTTCCATATCAGCGACTTGCAGCTCGTCCAAAGCAGCCGTGTTGCACCAAATGGAGTGCACGTCAAACGCGGTGATGTAAATGGGTCGCGGATCCAGGTCATCGAGCGTGCTGGCCAGGGCTTCGTTGTTGGTGGATGCTTGAAACCAACTGCGGCACGAAAGGCGCGGAACGTCGGGGTGTGCCCTGGCATATTGTCGGATAGAATTACGAATCTCCTCCAGATCCTTGCAGTTTTTAAGATCGAGCTGATCCAGTGACTCCCCGGTATGAAGAACGTGCATGTGGCTGTCGATGAGTCCGGGTATAATCAGGCGTCCTTGCATGTCCTGCACCTGCGCACCAGAACTCACAAGCTCCTGAATAGCAGCGTCTTCATAGAGTCCGACATGTTGTATAGTACCGTTTTCATCGTTGATAGCAAGGCATTGTGCAAATTCGGCGTTGCTGGTGTTGTATTCGGCAGCTGGCCGAAGAAAGCGGCCGTTGGTCAGGACTGTAGGCATGGCTTGGGGACTAACGGGATAGGTGGCGTATATCGGCTACCACAACAGTAGGATTGAAGATGGTAGACAAAATTGTAAGAATAGTGAAGAAACAGGTTCTTATCAGACAAGCAACAGCTATTTGCTGAGTGCACAATATTGTTGTATCAAAGCGAAGCGCCACAGCGTCTCATCTAGGGAATTTAGCGCAGCCTTCCGGAGTCCGCGGGGGCGCGTCAGATCTAATCTGCGGGGTGCTGTCAGTCAGCCACGCTTTGTACGTACAGCCATTTGGCCGAAAACTTATCGTGTCAAGGTCGCAATGATCGTTTATAAGAGGCTATGCTTTTGATACTAATGTTAGAGAAACCACTTGTCATAAAGAATTGACTGCTAAGTCGATACCAAAAAGATGATGCGATGATCATTACTCCTTCAAGCACGTAGCTCAACCGGGGTCGAAGAGGGGCCAAAAACACAAAGGCGGTAAGTATACTCTGCAGGTCCTTTACATATACCACTACTAAAATGTATAATCTATTACAGTATATAAGGCATAAACAGGGAATATACAGGGAATATACCTCGATAATACTAGAGTTCACAGCGCTAGAGTCAACAGCCTAATGTATCTGCGTATTCCCTGTATATAGTAGGCATATAGTAGGCCTATGCTGAGGGTCTACTAATAACTTAGCAGTAGATAAAGTAGCTGTAACGTATCTGTAATTGAGCATTCTTTTCCTGCCCTTTCTTGCCCCACTTCGACCAAAGGTTGATCTACGTGGCTTGGTAGCTATCGCTGTCCGCGGGGAACCGGGCTATCTTTCCGTTTCAGCTTTTACAATAACCGCTCCGATGGCTTTTTCAAAATTTCGCAAAAAAAGAAAACGAACAATTGCCGAGCTTTTCTACCGCGCTAGCAGATGCCACAAAAGCCAGTTGAAACGTCTGAGATCCAGACACAAATGCGAAAGCCGCTGCGGAACACAATAAGAGTAAGGGAGAGCCCACACTGTTATTGTTCCCCGGATTACATCTTACCTGCGTATTCCCGGAAACAATCAATCTCCGCTGACACAGCATTCCAATTGACTTGGACAACTCGTCATTAAGGATGGCGAGTCTGACGACGGAGCAACACCTGCAGGACCAACAACACCCGCCCGGAACATTGCTCCTGGAAGACTGTAAGACATTGCACCCAGAACTTGTCTCAATCCGGGAACAAGCACCATTTAGCGTATCAAAAGAACAAGGACCCTAACTCTTTAACTTAGTACAGCATGGCAGCGGCAGAGTACTTCTTCATCCTATTCCAACCACAGACCCCAATGATCCTCTCAATTGGTCAGGGCCACGCAAAGCCTTTAGCATCGGCCTCGTTCTGCTTTACGTAACGCTGACCTTTGTTCAGCTCGATATTGGTGTCATTGCTTTTGGCCAGTACCAAATCGAGCTGGGCTTCGACATCAACACGCTGAACAGTGGGCAGGCCATGGGCTACGCCGGTCTGGGCTTGAGCAGCATCCTATTCATACCTCTCATGAACAAATATGGCCGGCGGCCCATCTACATCATCAGTCTGGTGCTTCAAGTATCTGCATGCGTGTGGCTTGCTATGACCAGGACCAAGGCGGACATGCTTCTCAGCAATCTCTTGGCAGGATTCGGTGGCGGCATCTGCGAGACGATTGTGCAGATTACCATTGCTGACATCTTCTTCGTGCACCAGCACGCTGCCATGAACTCGTACTATCTGTTTTCCACCACCATCGGGTCGACGCTCGGCCCCGTCGCCGCCGGCTACGTGATTGAAAGCCAGGGCTGGCGCTGGATATGGTGGTGGTGCGTCATCCTCATCGGCGCCAACCTTGTGCTTGTCCTCTTCCTGTTTGAAGAATCAAAATACACTCCCAAGCTCAATGGCGAGACTCTAGCTAACCAACCACCTCTCGGCAACGACCACGAAGAAGATATTTCACCAGACGCAAAGAAGAAGAGCCTCGACGACGACGACGACGACGCACTGCAGCGTAGCATCACCAACAACCACGGCCACATTGATGGGAACATTCCGATCAAGACTTATCGGGAGCGTATGGCTCTGCTGTCGCCTACAGACGAGCAGGTTTTCGGGAAACTACTTGATGCCTTTGTCATCCTCGTCACGTTCCCTGCCGTGGCCTTTGCAGCCATTACCTTTGGAAGTCTTCTGGCTCTTTTCGCCCTAGTCATGTCAGTTCAAGCGACGTATTTGTTTCTACCGCCATACAATTTTACGGCCATCGGCGTCGGCCTGATCAATCTTTCCGGTTTCATCTCGGCTATTCCTGCCGCCTTTGTTGGGGGTTGGTTGGACGATCGGCTCATTTTGTCCTTGTCAAAGAGAAATGGTGGACTCTACGAGCCCGAGATGAGACTGTGGCTGTCGCTGCCTTGCATTATTCTTACACCTGCCAGCGTGCTTATGGTCGGCTTGGGATTTGCCTACGTAAGATATAAACGATATTCCTTTTCTCACAAATTTCTTTTTTTACTAAATTGCTTTTCTATAGGGCGTCGCTTGGCCTGTTGTTGCTGTGGGGTCTGGATTGTTCAGCTTCTGCCTCACGGTCTCGGGAAGCATCGCCCTTTCTTACACCATGGACTGCTACCACTCTGTACGTTTCCTGTAAAAAAAGGACAAGAAAATTTACTGACTTGTTTTCATATAGATTGTTGGATCATCTATGATTGGAATCATTTTTATGCGTAATGTTTTTGCCGTCGTGATTCTGTTTGCACTCACTCCCTGGATCACGGCAATGGGGCTCATCAATGTCCACATTATTGTGGCAGTTATAATATTTGTTATCCAGCTACTCGCAGTACCGTTTCTGATTTGGGGCAAGAGGTTTAGAGCTGCTACAGCTCAGAAATATCGTTATCACGCCCAGCGTCAGCCGACAGCTCGCGACTAGAAGAAGAGCTAGTCGAAATAAGACTATAGGGTACTTGGCGAGATATTGTTTCTGTTCTCGAGCAGGAAATGACTTGCATTTGAAACATGCCGAGTGTCGCGATCTTCAATTCGACTGTTTGGATGCGTTGCGCTATCACGTCTAGATGATATTGTGCTTCCATGCTCAGCTCCGTCGCCCCCGATATTATCCGCTTGTGCTGCTCTTATCATGATATCAAAAAATGGCTGCGTGATAGCCTAAATTTGTGGCGGTGGGCACCCCGATTGGAGATCCGATGTCGGGTCCTTCAGCTACTATTTAGCGTGCATTGGGGGCCTTGACCACCCTTGCACCCCTCATTGAGCTACCTGTACTATGGTGGGGGTAGGGAATTAAGTCACTCTACTGGCAAGAAAAGGAAAAAAAAGAAAAAAAAAAAAGAAAAAAGAAGTGAAGCTCATATCTTTTCCTTTCAACTCTTCCTACTGCCACATTCTCCTGCTGCCACTGTATCTCTACCTACGCTCTCAATTCACGCCGTACAACATGTCTGACGACAAACGAGTCTGCCTGTAAGAGATACAATGCTTGATTTCATGGTGCAACTTGAGCTGACCTGACCTGTTCCAGTGCCTACTCTGGAGGTGCGTGCTGTCCTCGCTGGCCTCGACCCTCCACACTCTCCGACCGCTTTGCTCCGATTGCTTCGCCCCGATTGCTTCGCTCCGACGTCTGCTTCTCGACCTCGAATCCTTTGACGAATTCTAATACAGCACAGGCCTAGACACATCCGTCATACTCCGGTATCTTATCAATGAGGTCGGTTTGTTTCGAGGCTTGTTTACTTGACGATAGCCTCACTTTTTGTCTCGTTCAAGTCTGCTTCATATGGCTACTTTTTTCCTCTCTCCTTCATCAGCCTATACCATATTTTATCACCCTGTACTGCGCCATTCTTTCCATCATCACAACTCGACCAAAGCGATGGTGCCATACCAAGGATACAGGAAAACCCCAAAGATCAAGTCGCTAATGTCTTCTTTTAATAGGGCTACACCGTGGTTGCCTATCTCGGCAACGTCGGCCAGGACGAGGACTGGGCCGCCGTCGAGAAGAAGGCTCTGGCTCTCGGTGCCGAGCGCATGGTCATCGATGACCTTCAGCAGGAGTTTCTTGAGGAACTTGTTTTCCGTGGCATCCAATGCAATGCCATTTACGAGGACCGATATCTTCTTGGAACCAGTCTTGCCCGGCCAGTATTGGCGCGCGCTCTCGTCCGCACCGCCCAAAAGTACAACTGCAAGATTCTCAGCCACGGATGCACTGGCAAGGGGGTGAGTTGAATCTTGCCTCCCAAATCTTTATTGAATCTCTACTAACTGCGAGTAGAATGAGTATGTTGTTACAGAACCCATGGCTCTAGGTAGATGGCTATCCCGTGCATATTTGGTCCCTTTGATGGTATGGCTATACTAGGCCAGACGGCGCCCGGAAGTTTCCTATCACCATCAAGTGGTCAAAATACACAAATGGGATGACCATTTACTCAAGGTCAAACATCACAATTGCTACGGAAGCTAACATTCATCAAGCCAGGTTAGGTTCGAATTAGCTTGGCGAGCACTCGATCCCACTGTGTCTGTCATCGCCCCCTGGCGCATGCCCAAGTTCTTCAACCGCTTCCAGGGCCGACAAGACCTCCTGAAGTTTGCCGCCGAGAACAACATTCCAGTTTCGTCCTCTCCCAAGTCTCCCTGGAGTCTCGATGCCAATCTAGCGTAAGTAGTCTTTCAAACTAGAAGGGGAGTTCTCCAGGCTGTCAACTTGACGATGGCCTGCCTTTTTGTCTTGCTCGACTATACTGCTTTTTACGGCGATTTCCTCTCTCCTTCATCACCCCTCTACTTCACCTTTCTTCCCATCACCATCAGGGAGTTCAAGTCAAACTAACAAGTATACAAGACATACCTCAGCCGAATCGGGCATCCTCGAAAAGCCCGAGGTGGTTGCGCCCAAGGATGTTTGGACCAAATCTGTTGGTATGTGATGTGCTACACTGGCTCCGGTTCACCACGGTAGACTCCCGATCTAATTTCTGCGCTACTTAGACCCGCTCGATGCGCCCGACGTGCCGACCAAGTTCTCCATCACCTTCAAGGCCGGCATCCCCATCAAGCTTGATGTGGAAGGCGGTGAAACCTACACCAACTCAGTCGAGCTTTTCAAGAAGCTCAATGAGATTGCAGGCGCCAACGGCGTCGGTCGAGTGGATATCGTCGAATCTCGGTACTTTACCATCCCCGCCGCCATCATCAGCACTTGCCTCCGAGACTCGATCTTGTACTGACGATATCACAAGCTTCATCGGATTGAAGAGCCGAGGCTGCTATGATGCCCCAGCCCATACGGTGCTGCGTCTAGGTAAGTGTGAATTCTACCCCTCAATTGATGATGCTAACAAGCCAAAGCCCATGTCGATCTCGAAGGCATGACTGTGGACTCCAAGGTTCGTAGCATCATGTCCTGGATCGGAAACGAGTGGTCCCAGTGCCTCTACAATGGTATGTATTCCTGTTTGGATAATTTTGATGGTCCTGACTAATAATTGTCTTAGGTATGTACTTTTCTCCCGAGCGTGAGCTCCTTGAAAACTCCATCATCTACAGCCAGAGGCATGTCAATGGCACAGTCAACATGATGGTATACAAGGGAGCAGCTCATGTCCTTTCCCGCTCTGCGCCGGACAGCAACCTGTACAGTGAGGAACAGGCTAGTATGGATACTCTCGAGGGATTTAGCCCAGAGGATACCAGTGGCTTCATTGCCATTCAGGCGATCCGCTTGGAAAAGTACGGTGCGGCCAAGATCCAACATGGCGAACCCCTGGTTTAGGGCGCATAGAGGAGCCGCTGCCTTGGCCTCTCTCTACCTTGATGAACGGGGACGAGGTTTATAGAGATGCGATGAGGAGTGCTATGACTTGGGTGCAATTATCGTAACTCATGGATAAAGCTGCCGTGACAATCATATAGTGGGAACTTCGACTTGGTCTAAGCAGCCATGAGTTACTGAATACATGCGCGCGCGCACTCGCTACATCGTAGTCGGGAAATCAGATACTACATGTAGCTCCGGGAATGTCACTAAAAAAATAACCTTTTCTGTAAAGATGGAATCTGCAACGGCAGAAGTTGTATTCTTTTTTTCCCCCCTCTCCCTACACCAAGTTCTAGCATCTGCAGCACCCGCCATCAGTGTGGCGCAACATCTGACATGCGAAGAAAGTTCTGTTCCGCATCCGTCTTGGCCCAAGCAACACCGGGGCCTAACTCTTGTGTCTGACTTTCTTGCACAGTATTGCCCGGGTGGGGAGAGCGTGCTCACGACTCGTGGAGGAGATGGGCGATGACGCGTGACGGTCGCTTGTTGGCTCTCACCAATCATCCTCGATCAAGACGGTTGAGCATCCAACGCCACCAATGTAGTCGCGCGCCTCATGCTCCGACTTGACTACACGAAGGCGGCTGCCCTGTATCGCAATGTCTGAGTCGTCCATTTGAAGGTCTTGGGCAGGATCGACGACCACTACAGTCCTCCCCTCTGCGATGAGTCGCTTGACGCTCTCATGCAGAATCCGTCGAGCAACCGTGTTGAGCGAGTAAACATCACGAAGTGAAATTACCACGGCGCATGTGTTGGAGTATTTGCCGGAACCGGGATCGCCAGGCTTGGGGTCGCCGAGCTCACGCACAAGCGCTCGGCTGAGACGCTCCGAACCGGGGAATCGCACCGCCCCTCGGAGACTAAATACAATGACCTCGCGCTCGCAATTAGGATGGTGAGGCTCCTTGTCACCGGCAACGATGGTAGCTACCGTTGTAGACACAGTGGCGCCGGCGATTTGGCTGACGTCCATCATGTGCAGACCCATGTCTTGAGACAGCTTTTCGCAAATGGCGACGCCTCTGACACTATTACCGCGCTCATCCAGTTTGGGCGAGAATGTGGCGATGCCGACTTGGCCGGGCAAGGCACCAATGATGCCGCCGGCAACGCCGCTCTTGGCCGGTATGCCGACATTGGAAACCCAGTCACCGGCTGCGTTGTACATGCCACACGTGGTCATTACAGATAGGACTTGCCGAACGCTTGCTTGTGGGATAATGCGATCGCCTGTGATTGGATGAACTCCCGCATTGCTTAGTGTTGCGGCCATGATGGCCAAATCCCTCACATTGACATTAATCGCGCATTGACGAATGTAACCCTTGACAATATCCCGAGGATCGCAAGTTATGACGCCAGCCGCCTTGAGCATGTATCCAATAGCCATGTTGCGGTCGGCGTTTTTGAGCTCAGCCTCGTACACCTGCTCGTCAACATGCAAGCGTCGACCGGCAAGCTGAGACAGCCCCCTCAATATGCGCTCTGTCCTTTCCTCTAATGAATTGCCCCAAACGAGAGAATGAGCTGTAATGGCCCCGGCATTGATCATGGGATTTACTGGACGATTCGTGCCACGTTCAAGCGACAGATGGTTGAAGGCATCTCCTGACGGCTCAACACCAATCTTTTCCAGAACCTTGGGTAATCCTAAATCCTCAATAGCCATGGCGTACACGAATGCTTTGGAGATGGATTGCATGGAGAATTCGACTTGGTCGTCTCCCACCGAGTAGACATTGCCGTCGACCATGGCCAGTGCCACGGCCATCTTGGAGGTGTCGGCGTTGGCAAGCGTCTCAATGTAGCTGGCGGGTGCGCCACCGTCGATTGAGCGTGCATTGTCAAGCACGGCTTTGAGATAATCGGGAATAGGGGACTTCATCGCTAGGAGGCGGGCGATGGAATTTTATTCATCGAATTTGTAAAAAAAAGGACGCTAATAATGTAATGGCTTTTTTGAAAAGAGAAAGAGATTGACGCGCCTCTTCAAGGCTGGTCAAATAAGCTTATTCGAGTGGGCGGAACCTGATAAATTTTCACTACGGAGTACCTAGGGCTATACACTTTCTAGTGCTGAATGAGCCCGGGTTCTAGCTACATTTACCTACCAGTGGTTAGTTACCTAGTTTCGTCTTGGCGGGAGTGGAATTGGGCTCTTGTCGCTCTGCTACAACTTGCCGCGATGAGCGGTGACTGAAAACCCCACATGGTATACTCGAGGGCCAAAAATTGCCGTGTTTCCCTTGAATGGTGATGGGATCAGGACCACGAAAGCTACTGTAATTAGTGAATGAGATGGGCCCTATGAGGCTCTGATGCATCCCACTTTGGAGCGTCATGCGAGCGCCACCCGCTAATAACGGCGAGTAATCTACTACTATGCCTTTTTCGGGCTAATACGTCAGGGTAACTCAATTGCAGCATAAAGAGATATTTTACGTACACAAAGAAAAAGAGGTCTGAAATTGAGAGCACGTAGCTAGATATGCTGTTGAGCTATACGCTCAAAAAAAAAAAAAAATGGACGCGCCACATCTTTTACAAGCGCATTTTCGCGGACAACAAGATCTACGCTGGCGGAATGGCTCAGTTACAGCGCTTCCTTATTTTTTCACTCATCCACGATAAAACTGTTACCCAAGACTGTCAAAGGAACCATACGATAAAGAGACGAATATATTGTCCTCAACAGCAGGTTTAGCAGACGAAAACAAAGACGGCATAAATGATTGCGGCAATGTCAACTATTTTAATACACAAGCCGTGTCAGCGTGTGATGCAATGAATGGTATTCGGTGAGCAGCGAACGTGGGGTGCAGTGGTGCGAATATGCACGCCATTCGCTTGCGCATCATCCTAACATTGATCGGCTTTAATCCATCGTCTTGATTTGTCAGGAAGCAAGGCCTTGAGCACGAGGAAAAGCATACTTTGGTGTTTGGCTTTTTTTGCGTGCTTCGGAATGATACATAGGTAGGTGTGGCAGGTTTTGGGTAGGGAACGTGGCAGACAGGGATTAACGTGCGGGTGGCCCCTGGACGGCCTGGAGGTTGCGGCGAGCCCACTAAAAAACGCAATCATCGGCGCACCTCGGACGGTACTTTACCAACCTAGCTGCCTTGGTGGTTGATGCGCTCGGCGCTATTTGAAGCACTGGCACATCCTATTGAGAGCTTGATGGCACGTACTGACTTTATTGGAGACGCTTATTATTTATTACGTCTCCTCGGTACCATTGGGGATACTGTCAAGAGAGGTGATGCATCTGCCTGTTATTTATTTAGTTAGTTACACTCTTCTCAATCGTTTTGCTCTCGGGCCCACCAGCCCCCCCTCCCTGCAGACAACACGAATCCTGGCCTGGCACGCTTGCAGCTTGTACCTGAAATAGCCATCTGCCCTTACTAAAACCACTAATTGGCCTCCACTTGAATGTCTGTCGTGTTGGCAGTTGTTGATGTGGTCGTGCCTTGGCTTCACTTTCCCGCCGATCTCGTCCCCCCTTGGGCTTGTTTTGCTTTGCTTTTCTTATCATTCCTCCACACTGCAAATCCACGTTTGTAGGAAATTACACATCACAATACGCTGCCAGTAATTTACTTGTTGCCTAAATAGTCGGTAGTTGGTACCTTGGTTACCTCTCGTACCTGGTTTTGAGCCGTTTGCCGCCGTTGCCAATCGTCCATCCACCACCACCTGCTCACTGCCTGCACGAGTTCCCAAGCCTGCCACGTTGTTTCTACCCGTCCCGCCTCCCCTCCCCCCTCAATCCACCAGACTTTTCCTTTCTCCTCCATCACCGACTCGAAACGACACGGACTCAAAACGCGACCGCATTCCTGTACCAGACTACCACGCGCACAGTACACACACACCACACCACCCCCTGACTGACGCCGTTTTGCGTTTCGTCTCCCATTGATTAATCCCCTCTTTTCCCCCTTTGCTTTCCTCTTGCCTCTGTTCTCGTTGTCAATACCAGTCCTGTCATCGCACCACTGCCATCACCAGAACTCGCTTTTCCGCCCAGACTCACAATCATGCCTGCCTCACTCGAGTCCTCTCGTCCAATCATGGCCCCCTCGGTACGTCCACGTCCATCACCATGCACCAGCTCGCTCCTCCCTCCTCTGTCGATAACCCAACCCCCTGGCCGCCTGATCGCTCCCATCGGTTGCCCTCGGCCTGCCCGCGCATCTCATGTGTCTCATAAACCCACTCCATGCGACTCAGCCTGTCTTTCGCTCGCGAGTCGCTCCATGACGGGACGCTGAGACTTGAGGGACTGCCCTGACCTCGTTACTGCGCCCCAGTTAAAGGCTGGCTGACCGCTTGCTTTCTCGCGAGGTCCTACGCAACCACGCTACCAATCGCATATCTCACACCTGCACCGCTATCCATCCCACCGAAGCTTTTCCATCACTGCCTATACATACATATACGCCCCTCTACCTTCCTACTCTTCTATTCCCATCCTCTCTTGCTTCTGCTACTCTCTACTTCAAACTACACCTTGGCGCCCATCTTTGCCCGCTGCTAACACCATGTCTTCAACAAAGGCCCGCACCTCGGTCCGCTACAGCACATACAGCGTAACCCCCTCCGTCACTCCAACCTTTGCCACCAACGACTCAGCACAAGCCGAATTCCGCGACATCGCCACCGGACTCGATCGCATGGAGAATAAGGCCCTGACTATGCAGCGCGTCGTCCTCGACCAGGAGAAGACGGATAACCTTCGCAAGCTCGCACTTGGTGCCAAACTCGAGCGCGCGCTCGACCGCCGAATGAGCTCTCAGGACGCCGTCATGCGCCCCCGGCCCAAACAGCCCGTCATTTCCGAAAAGCAGCAGCTTGTTGAAAAGGTCGCCTAAATCCATGGCCCTGTCAAATCTGCATCTTGAGCCATTGTTGTTCAACTTGCCACGCAAAATGAAGCTACGCATGGTTGTCGCCTCAGCCTCCAGTCAATCGGGAAATGGACTCGTCAGTCATGAAGAAACGCCACTCGGAAATGGACGATGCGTCTACCAATTCCGCCTAATACATGCCCTCGACACTCCGCCATTGAACGGGGTTCTCATAGCTACATACGTTGGCCTGGTGTCTAGTCTACTTTTTTACGCCCGTTTCCAACCTCACGAGACACTAGCCGGCTAGGTGGCCTCGAATGAATTTCAGAATGACGAAGGAATAGGATGCCGAGCTGAGGGGCTGTGTACAGGCTGATTTATTTCCTATTTCCTTTCACAAAGGGCTTTTTGAGTCGAGAACCTTGGTTCCACACGCCACACTACATGACCATTGTACAGCATCTTCAGCACTTGTTTTTCTTTCTCCAGGGCAGGCGTTCGGTCGAAATATACCATACCACAATACATTCGTCAAATAAATAAAGGAATTTGTTGAACTGCGTTGACATCTTTGCCAGCCCATCCCTTTTTTTCAGCCTCGTCGCTCCGATCTACTAACATTGTGGCGGGACAGGATTATCTAACAAGACTAGCTCTCTTCCTTGCACGATGAGAGGGTCGGAAGAAGCAAATAAGAGCCGCCCTTGCTTTCCAACGCCTCACGCCTTGCATTTGCGAGTGGGGTCAGGGAAGCACGCACGGCACGATTCCCTCCTTGGCATATGCAAGAAAAATGATCAGATGAACTGTAATAAAGTTCATAATTGGCAGGGAACCCGAGTGCCCTTTGCAGAGTGGGCATTCGAATGAATCAGACACCTCCTTGGGTAAAAGCCACAATGGCACTATAGTGGCTTCAAGCTTACATCTAGGTCTCTCACGCGGGAGATATTTTACCCTGATCAGTCACGGCTTTCTGGAAAAAAAAAAAGAAAAAAGGCGAGACGGACGAGACGAATATCACAAGTACCCGTTAAAAGTATGACGCCGCTCTTGCCGCCAAGATCCTTTCGGCGCCTCAGCGCCCGGAGCTGATTATGCTCACTGGCTGCATGTACGTGTTTTTCGCCAGCCTTTTTGAATCCCATTGACAGGGCTGGGATAGTCTCATACTCCTCTCTCAGCTCTCTCCTACATAAATTTTTCCTAAAGTAGAGCTATTAGTACACCTAGTAAAGACACACCTAACACTTAATAAGCCCACTATTACCCCCCTTTTCCCTATACTCCTTATCTTTAAAGTAGTATCTATAGGTACCGTTAATATTATATTACCCTTAGTAGCTTTACTACTATATCCCCTAGACCCCTAAAAACCCTTTAACTTTATTATAAATTAAAAAAACTTTAATAAAACTAAAAAAAAAATAAGTTATAAAAAAGTAAAAACTTAATAATACTTAAAATAAGTTTAAAGTAATAATATTAATATTAACTAATTTTTATTTAAACTTATTTTTATAAAACTTATAAATAAATTAAATTAGTTAGTTACTTTAATTTTAAAGTTAATATTTAAATTTTAATAATTTCTATTTAAAGTTAAAAAGGTTTTTATTATAGTTTTTAATAATATTTTAAGTTAATTTAAAGTATTAGAAGATATTACTTTAATTAAAAATATTAAAAAGTATTAAATATAGTTATTTAAATTATTATTAATATTATAACTTTTAAATTAAATTAAAATATAAAATTTATATTTTTAAAGGTTTAATTTAAACTTAAAATTATTTTAATATTATATTTTATAAAGATCTTATAATTAAAGTCTTTCTTTTTAATATTTTTAATATTACTAGTATAACTAATAAAAGTTCAAAACCTATTAAACTATAAAACCTATTATAATATTATTAAGTCTTTAAAAAGAAATAAAATAATATATTAAATAGACTTTTTAAATATAATAATAATAAAGATCTTATTAAAATCTTATTTAAAAGCTTAATATAGTCTATTAATTTTTATAATATTTTAATAAAAAAACTATAAAAATATATTAAGTCTTAGTTAAAGATATTAAAGATATATTTTAAATATTAACTAAAATTATTATTATTATTAGAATTAGATAAGTTAATATAATCTTCTTTACTAATTATATTAAGTTA